CCTACATATATACAACAATATAAATACAATAAAAAAGCAAATTCTTTATTTCTGAACTGCAGGAAGAAGTTATTTCATTTTTAATCATCAGAAATGGGTCAGATTCAGGCTTCGGGGCAAAAAGAATGATGAAATTATGGAGGACTTGAAGATAATTGGCATTTTTCTTCCTCCCTAACAGGATGTGAATATTAATACGCTGAAGTCAGCCCCTGGCAGAGGAACTTCTTATCATTTGTAGAAGAAGAATAAGGACTAATCTTTGTGTTTCCACACTTTGCTCCTTCAGCTTTGTGCAGAGACTTAATAAGAAACCTTAAGAGCTGTAAGAGCTGCCGCCTCGTCTCACTTCAAACGAGACGCAGAGCTGTGCTGTCAGGATGTAGAGACAGAGGAGGCCGTGTGGGGCAGGGTGTTCGTGCTGCTTCTCTGTGGTTTCCTCTGAACAGGAAGTGCAGCAGCAGCTGCTGCTACGTGAGACAAGGAATCTGAAGAAAACTAGAGTTTCTACCAGAAGCTKCTTTAACAGGAGAGGAAAAACAAAGCTTGTCTTCTTCTTCCTTTAACGAGCTGAAGATGATGAACATGTGTTGAATGTGGCACGTCTTGTGCGACAAACTGATGCTCTCCAAACTCAAGGCCCAGCCCGACGAGCTCAGGTCTACGGTGGTTTTCTTGGATTGTGTGAAGAAATATCTGGAGGTATTTCCTGCTTCAGTGTTTTTTTCTTCACATTTTACTTCCTCAGACCGTGGAAGGAGTTTATGTTCCTGCAGGTCCTGCATGTGGACCGGTGGGGTTTGGACTCGTTGCTGCCTTCCTTGGCTGCTTGTGGATGTGACTGTTTGGACCTGCAGCCCTCAGAGTTCCAGCAGAGGAAAGAGGACTCTGCAGGCCGGCTCTCCTCTGGACCTCATGGCTTACCTTTATGTCAGGTATGTTTAGCAGAGTTAGCCTAGCGTAGCTTCGTCTGTGTCACAAAGAACTGCTTCATGTCYTCACACAGATGTTCAAAGCAGACAGTTTTAGGAGAAGTTTGTTTAAAACTTATTATTTTCTATCAAATTAGAGATTAAASTAAGTGCTTGAAGAGCAGCTATTAAAAAACTTCCTGAAGAAATGTAGAAAGGCAACTCAGCATCCACAATGTTTCTTCTCTGAAGTCCAGCAAAAACCTTGGAAATCATCTGAAGTGAGAAAATATTGATGCTTTAATCTAAAAACTGTTGAAAAAGAGCAAAGTTTGTGGAAAATTAAACATTTAAACTTAAAAATATTAAAAGTTACAAGGTGACGTCATCAGACTTTAGGTTGAATGTAAGCTAAGCTGAGTTAAGATAAGATAAGATAAGATAAGA